CGATAATTCGCGGCACTTCAACGACGTGGCAAATGAAGTGTTAATGTAATTGGCGTTTATCGATTGTTAACAGGTCCACTGCACTCACGCGTTTTTGTACATTACGAAGCGTCAGAAGGATGTGATTTATTATCTACGATATTAAGTTTAACTCGGATAGTTTTATCGATTGAAAGGAACAGGTACTTATATTTTATTTACACTTTTTTTTTTGTAAATTTCTTTTAACAATAATTTTCTTGTTACGTGATACAGGTTTTTGTCGCCCGTTTCATTTAACACTATAAAGGAGGAAGCGAATGATAATATCGAAATTTAAAAATGGGCACACATTACCGTGTGATACGCATGTTTTCGACCTTGAAGTTTTGATGCTGTCATATTTACATTATGTCTGTAAGTGACGCAAAGTCACGTCTTCGTGATGTTTAATCTTAGAATTTTTAAGTACAACGGCTCGACATTGCGAATTTATAACTGTCGCGGATGAAAAATGCTCTGATATATGAGACTATAAGTATTCTTTACAAGATGGTAAAGCTGTGAGCACCAAGTCAATTCGTGTATTACCTTTTTAAAGCGAATGACAAATCCAACTGTTCTAATCTAGAAAGTTTACCGCTTGCAATTCATTTGTTTCGTCGTACATTTTAATTTATATTCAGATTATTTTTTATTCATATTCATTTCACAACACAGAGTGGAGCATGATTAAAGTAACTGAATCTAAGTCCCAATGAATGATAGATATATAACGAGTGAAATAACGAAACTAATTTAAAGTTTACAGTCCGTTGCTCCCTTTCACTCTATTGAAGAAAATGGAACGAATTTTCAACACATCTGACACGAGAGTTTGTTATAAATTGTGGAAGAATTACTTTTGCACAGACATTGACAAATACGAAGATGATATGACGTAGGACTGTGTAATCGCGGAAGTGTAACAATATCCTACGCGTTTTACACACAATAAAAAGGAAACGCAGTTACATGCGTATACAATGCAAACTGTTATAAGAAGTCAACGTGAGCAAAATACAGTGGCATCGTTATTAAATATCACGGTCATTATTCGGGCATCACCTTAAACGCATCTGACTTAATGCGTCAACCATAATCTCGATCCTCTTTCTCCCCCTGTATACATCTTCAGGAATTTCCGTTCGACTTTAATCGTAATTAATATTACCATATATAATGTATTAACTAGACAATCCGGTTCTCTATCTACCAGTGTAGAAACTTTTTAATTCTTTAGTTCTCATTAACAAGTTCCGATATCATAAAAATTTAATGATCTCTTAATCTTCATTTAATCAGTAAATTATTACATATGATTTAAAATGATCTTCCACTGAAATATCTATGTCATACATATATCGTACAACATAATTTTAACAAAATATTTGGCAGTTTCGTTCATACTTAATTATCGTACATACCAAAAATTAATCCTGAGATTTTATTCAATAGTACACGTATTTCTTTTCCTGACACGTATAAAGGCAAATGTTTACATTACAATTTTCTTCTATTAAATATTTTGTCTTATTAAATTATTTTATTGTAACTTAAAATATTATAACATGTTTACTTCTATATTTCCTCGTTATACGAGTTTACTTTGATATAATTCATAGTCTATTAGAATACAAGATAGAGATTAGCCTAAATCTGTAGTAAGGCAGAATACGTGTTACGTTGCGGATAAATTAATTAATGTTTTCTCATAAATAATCCGCGCTAAGCGATTCCTTCGCATGGATTATCCTTTGTACGCTATACAAATTAACTAATAATGATGCTTATTCATTGTCACGACGAAAGCGTGGTGAAATCAACGTCACGCTCGCTTTCAAATTAATACGTAGCTTCTTTTGTAATAACAGAGCTTACAATTTATTGTAAAAACGTTACGCGAAACACGTTATTTCACGACTGATCAACTTTGAATGTAATTCACGCGAGAATGGCAATATTCGCCGATTAAGCTCTGAGATGAAAATGCTGAAAAGCTTTTTCTCTTGAGACAAAAACCAATAATATACAAATAGTAAAAGTCAATAATAATTGTATCGTTCTTTTAAAGATCTTATTATTGGGAATATTTGGAGTCAATTTTATTTAACGAGATAAATTTTTAAATTCATTAGAGATTTCTTTTTAAATGCTCATGTATCCTTTTGTAGTCCTTTTATTGAGGTTCTGTTGATTGATACAGTTTCAGATCAAAAGATCAAATATTGACAGTGGTCTACACAACATGTTTAGACTACAAATAGTTTTATACTAATGTCTTTGATTAAGTAAAAAACATGTATCGACACTTTTAAGATATTAACTGTTTCATGAAGTAGCAGAGTTCAATTTTGTTGCTACTGACAGAAATTAACATCGTGCCTGTTTTTAAAAATGAAAATTCCTAAAGGAGAAACTCATTAAGTAGTATTAGATAAGCGGTATCAGGCCACCGCGTCAGAACAAAGAATAAACATTCGTTCGGTCGTAAATTTTTAGAATACCTAAGAATTTTTATAGCCGTGAAACATTGCCAATGAATTTGAAAGAAAATGTCATTAATATCATTAATGTTCACATTGATCTATTCTAACAGAATTGGTTCTCTACTTGCTTCAGAATCCAATTTAAGTTCTCACCTTCGATAAAGTTATACAAGTTTGAACGATACGTCTCTTGCTCCTTTGCTCGAACAATAAATTCACTCCATAAATGAAGAAGAATGCGTAACATTTCTGTTCTTGTTAACTATTTGA